ATGATAATTATTATTAATTTTTCGATGTTTAAATAACGAAATAAGAAACTCGTTTTTATTATTTAATATAAATAGATTTACAGACAGTTTTAATTATTTGTTTTTAATAGGTTATTTAATTTTCCTATTAAATATTATGAGACTACTTTTTTTCAACATTCTATTGCTTTCAAAATTTTTTCATTCATTTTTTTCCTCATTCACGCATTTCATAATAAATTATTATAATAGTGTAACTAAAATGATAAACTATATTGCTCATATTTTAGAAATTTTATACTGATAAGATTCAGCAAAAATGCACAAAAAGCGGAAACCTCTAGTGTCAACGGCCTTTACTTTGAGCGTAAGTGATGATGAGACATATGTTATGAAGTATTTGCATTTCCCAACTTCCTGAAAACACGCATTCTCAGCCTTTTATTTTTTCAATATGTCATTGTTATTTCACTCGAATACTAAATGAAATAAATGTCGTAAGGGTTTATTATGCTTTTGTTACTTATAGTAAATAATTTTATTGTTTGAGGATTATGCAAGTGTATCAAAATATAATGATTAAGAAAGTGCACGATTTGTTGCTGCCCAAAGTATTAAGCTGAAAAACGACTTTAAAAAATTTTGAATTACAAATATTGCATTCTTATAAATTTTAAAACTACTCGAAAATATTTCTTGTGTAATTAAATCGACTTCTGATTCGTAAGCGGCAAAAAATTAATTTTCAAACAACACTGCCTGATATATAATGTGAACATTTAGTAGTACAGATCGGAGAAAGAATAAGAGGAAATAATACGATAAAAATATAAAAAGAAAAAAATATTTATTTGTTTATTTATTTTTGTGTGAATAATTTGAGCATATGTGTTGAGCGTCTGCATGTACGCATACCTTTTCTAAATTGATTCGGATATGAAATTCAGGTTTTCAAAATTCTAGTTCTTATTACCACACATTAAGTAAAAATTACAAAACTGAAAGAAAAATTTAACAGAATAATTTACTTTCATGATGCGCTCTAAGGTATTGTGGGGAGAGTAGTTATCGGCAATGTCAACTTTCACCCATGTAAAGGTACCCCATCATAGAATCGAGTTAACATGTCTTACATACTAGTGAATTGGAATTTTATTTTCGCAGTGGTAGATACACTACAGTACTCTCCCACCAGAATTATATCCGCGATGGAATTTGTTGAACGGACACCACTAGTAGATTCATTGCTGTTTTGTGAGAAGCTGGGAGAGCTGTATTAAGATCACCGTACTTTTGCTGATCATGAGAGCCGTATTAAGTTCACGGTCGTGTTTGCTCCTGTGTTGCCATTAGCAGTCGAGCGTATCCAGGCCGACGTGTGTGCGATCGAGACTGAGTAGCAACAGCGCGAGGAGGTGGATAATGTCGCAGTCACAAGTAGAAATTCGGCCGGGATAGCCTGGTCGGTAGGGCTCTGGGCCCATATCCAAGAGGTCGTGGGTTCGATCCTCGCCGACCGAAGACTCCCCGTGTAGTAAATGGTGACTGATGCACGTTAAATCTGTCGAGTCTCAAAATCCTCCATGTTCCCACAACAAATCAATACCTCTGGGGGTACTGATCCAGGAGTTTCCTTGTCTTCTGGATTGGTTCAAAATTACAAGGCTACGGAGTTGAACGTAAGTAGTCGTAAACGCATGAAATTGGATCGGCTGTTCAACGACGGTTATAAAATAAAATAAAATTGTTCAATATGGACCATTAATCAAAATAGGCGTGTTCAGATCGAAGTGGGCGTTACTGCTAAGGTAGGCGTGTTCACATCACGTCTGGGTCACCAATGTGGGGAGAACAGTTATCGACAATGTCATCTTTCCATCTATGAAAAGGTACCCCATCATAGAATCGAGTTAACATGTCTTATATAAGCTTACCGGACAAAAAATTAGTCACCCTTTGAGAAATCATGAAAAAGATCATTTAATAACGTGTAACACCGTCTTCAGATTTGATGACCGCCTGGATTCGGTTAGGAAGTGAACCCACAAGTTTTTGAAAGTACGTCGAATCCAGTTTAAGCCCCTCGTTGAGGATTTGATCGCGCAAATTCACGAAATTGTGAGAATGCTGATTTTGACGTTTTACCCGTTGTTCCAACATGCCGCACAAATTTTCAATGGGTTTCAAGTCATGTGATTTTGCTGGCCAGCCGAGATGTAATTGAGTGTCTGAGTGTTCATAAAACCAGTCACATATACTTCTTACCCCATTATACTTCTTACCATAGGGGTATCAACAACACACTTTACATGAAGAGGGTGACTGAAAGGCAACTCCTAATTGTCCAGAACTTTCAAATAAATATGTTGGATTATGTTAGTGGCCCCCTCAGTTAGGAGCCCAATCCATAACAAGAAAAACACCCCCAAGTCATGACAGACCCACCTCCGGCCTGAATCTATGCTTGCACACAGTCAGGATGAAATGCTTCATCTGGTCTGCGTTGCACTTGCAGACGTGCTTCTTTTGAATAAATGCAAAAACGCGATTCTTCAGACCATATTACTTTCTGCCAGTCAGCAACTGCCCATGTTCGGTGACTTTTAGCCCACTGAAGTCGCGCAGCCTTATGTGCAAGTGCGAGCAATGACCTCTTACGAGATGTTCGACTCCATATGTTCATTGCATGCTGCTCCATTCGCGATTTTTTCTCACTAAAAGACTGGGATGGATCTTCATTTAGTAACTGAAGTAATTCCTGTCTAGTTTGGAAGCGATTTTGATTGAAAAGTCGTGAAACGCGTCTCCGGTCACTTTCATGCAGGATCTTTTTCCGACCACAATTCTGACGGCGTCTTTCGTGACCACGTATATTACACCACTGCTTGTAGACACGTTGAACAGTCAGCTTTGAAACGCCAACAACTTTATTCACCATATGACCATTGACACGACCAAACTTAATTGCCTCTTTTTACCACTCTATCACATCTTTATTCTTACCCATATTTACACACAATTTCCGCTTCAAACAAAAATATCTCACTGATAGCTACTTGTCTTTGATCAGGTTGAAGCAGTGTGCATGCAGTTGAGCATGCCACCTGACCACTGCGTCATCTAACGAAGCCTAAGGATTCATCGGTGTTTGCGCACTAGGGTGACTGATTTTTTGTCCGGTGAGCTTACTACTGAATTGGAATGATATTTTTGCAGTGGTAGATACACTACAGTATCATGATAAAATTATTGAATTTTGCATTTACCTTCCCGCAGTGGACTGATCTTTAAGACACGGTTCCCAGCAAATCACCGAAGTCAAGCATCACTGACTGTGATCAGTGCGCTAGTGGGTGATCACTTTGATCAGCCTGCGATGGGACAGAGGGTGTGCAGTATTAGTTCTCGTTGAACTGTTCTACCGTACAGTACTCGACTTCGCTCTCAGGTCATCGGGTTGCTGAAGCGGGCTGTCATCCCCTATGTAGAGGACAAAAATTGTGATGGCAAGTCTTCGGATCATCCTCAGGGATGCTTCCCAGACCGTCCCTAATAACCCATTGTGCAGCTCTAGTACGATGTAAATAAATTACAACAACAGCAAACACATTTACTAAATTTTATCATGAATTTTAAAAGCATTTTCAATTCTACCATAATCATTACCAAGCGTTTCGGTAAAAATTATCGAGCTGTTTGTATCGAGTATCTCATGGAGCCAGAAACAATATAAATTTTATGATATATTTTGATATATTATGATATATTATGATATATATGATAATTTATATCTGGTTGTTTTGATGAGACTTTTTTCTTCTCAGAGTGGTTGGAAGTAACGCTAATTTCATTCTTTACATATTTTGCAATATTTCTATTCTATTTTAGAACTAAAAATTTACTGTGATTAGTTAAATTATTAATGATTACTCATTTATTTAAAGGTATTCTTAGATAAAAAAATAATTTTTTATATTTATGTTACTCATATTAGTTAATTTAATGGTAGTAAAAAGTTTTAACTATGGTGTGTACAAGGTTTTACATTAATTTGAATGTTATTAAAGAAGAAAGCAAATGAAAAAAATTTAACGGAATCAGTTGATTAGTTCTTGAGAAATGAAAATCTAAAACGATGAATTTTTTAAAATTTCACTATTCAGGTGCTATTTGACAATTTAATGAACAAATAAATAAATCCACAAATAATGATGCTTGTATTCGTTTTGAATAACATATTTAATCAAATGATAATTTATATTTATATTTATACTTATTATTTATTTTTTTATATTTACAGTAAACTTCTTAATTTATGATAGAATATGTATTTTTTTTAAAAACAATATATGTCTTTAATTGTACTTTAAAGTTGATGCAATAATTATTTTCTAATTTTAACTGTTAAGTCTTGAAGTCTTTTAATATATCTCATAGTTTATTATTTTTTACGGTGAAAAACAAAATATGTAGAATATTTTCAATAATTGCTATAACACACTTTTTTTAAAAGTATATAAAACGTTGTGTGGAGTAAAATGCACATACTATAGAATATAAAATCTTAAAATTTATTATCTTAAAATGATTTAGAAAGAGTGCACTTTATAATATTTTATAAAAAAAAATAAACACTCATATTTAAAAATTATTCTTACTTTAAATTAATATTTTAACATACATTCAGGCACTTCTTTAAGTATAAATAATTTAAAAATAATTACTAATAAAATTTAAAAATTCCGAAAAAAAATTAAGTTTTGTAAAGTTTTAAGATATTTATTACAGCGAATAGCAGGTCAAAAGTTGCTTATATCATAATGAATTGACAGACTTTAAATTATATGCGCTAAATGAAATATTTCAATTTTGTTGCGTCGTTGCATATTTTCCACATAGTATAGTAAAGCATTGTGATATTTTATTTAATTGAAACAAAAAAGTGCGCTGCAAAAATATAACAAAATACTAAACAATTTGAATTTTCATAAATCACATAAAAACAAAATTTAAGCACTTACCAAAAAGTAAATTGCAAACACAACTTTTCAAGCCATGAATAATATTTAGATATCGCTCCGTATTAATATTTATCAAATTTCAATTTTGTCCAAAATTTAATCTCTCGCTCAACAATTGATAATAATGAAATTGGCCGCCAAACAAACAATATCGCCAAGATAACGGCACCCGTATCTGATGCCGGTTGAATTCTATTATAAGCGCATTCGCCTTTTTTTCACAGTCCCTCTAGTGGTGCTTTCACCGGAGAACATTTCGGTTGCAGCACGTGACTGTCACCACCGATATTACGAAAGTGTTTCTGTTTAACGAGGAGGCAATCAATGAATGGATGAGTTAGAAAGATTGTCATCGGCTCGTTAATACGTAATTTCATCTCTAAATTACTAAGCGTTTCTGTCTTTTAGTTCTCTGTTCACAGATTAGTAGATTATAACAAGTGGCTTAGAGATTAATTATTCAAAACACTCGAGTATATTTGAGCAATAAATTATTATTTAGTCAATAAGAATTTGATAATTTATTGTCAGTTCCAATATTGTAGTGAAAGTTAAATTAAGTTCACATCAGAGATTCATATATAAAGAAATGTTTGGATTAAAATTCATGTTATGAAATTTAGAATTTAATCAAATAAATAAATTTATTTAAACTCAAAAATATCAAAAATATGACGTTATCACCGCTGGTTGACGAAATCCGCTGTGTTCGAAATCCATCTAAATGCTTAAAAAAATGTCGTTTGTTGAAGTTTTAAAATTTTAAAATACCTCTCTTTTAATTTTTTTGATGTTTTTTAATAATATATTGTTAAAATAAAAATAACAAAATAAAATTAAAAAAAAAATAAGATAAAAATTAATAAGAAATTATAACAATTCTAAATTATAACAATAATAAATTTTAACAATAAAAAAATAATAACAATATTAAAATAAATAAATTACATAATATTTTCTCCAAAAATATTAAACAAATATCTCAGATCATCTGATTAAAATATCGTGTCATAGAATCTCACACAGACAATATATTGTGGCATAGAATCTCATGATACAAAATATCGTGGCATAGAATCTCATGCAGGCAAAATATGGTGGCATAGAATCTCACGATGCAAAATATCGTGTCATAGAGTCTCACACAGACAAAATATTATAAGACAGAATTTCATGCAGATAAAATATTGAAAGATAGAGTTTTATGCAGATAAAATATTATGAGACAGAATTTAGAATAGACAGAGTCTTATGGGAAAGATACTAACGAAATTGAAAAGGTCTATTTATGGGAGCCTTTCCGAAAAGCACGATTTTGTAAAGTCAGACCGCGGTTAGTTTGTTAGAAGTTAATCAAGAATTCGCAGTATCTCTAAAAAATATCATATTATGCTTCATTTCAGTAAAAAAGTAATCAGTGAAAATACAGTGGTGGAATTGGCAGTTGCCTAAAGCTGCGAAGCTTGAGTGTTGCAAATAAATAAATCAACAAACGCATAAGTCTAAACATTTATTTGAATTGTAAATTTTATAAATGTTAGAATAATATTTTATCTTTTCTTCAGGTATAAATGGTTGAATATTTTATTTTAAATTCTTTCATGAATAAAGAGTTTGTGTCGTGTATTTGTAGAAATAATTTGCCGGATTTTGAGTAACCAGAAGTAAGCTAAGCTTTCCTATCTTACAAAACTACTCCGCTCGTGGTGTATGCATTAGTACTCGTATTAGCTTTAAGTAATATGTTTGTTTGAATTCTGTTCCGATCTAATCGAAAAATGGAAAGATTTTATGCAAAAATGAAATAAATGATAATTAAGTAATAAAAAGACGGATACAAAAATGTTCAAAATATGCTGCAATGAACTAATTTTAAGTATTATTTAAAAAGTATTCACATGAGAGAAATCACAAATTTAAATATGCAATTGGATGGAAATCTTATTTTTTGGGAAATATTTAATAAATATTAAATTTTCTGTTTCTTTTTCTTCTGTTTTCTGCTTTTTTTTAAATAAAAATAAATCAAGTTTCTTTTATTAGCGTGACTATTATAAGTTTTCAAATTAAATATATCAATAATCTTTCCATTTCTAAGAATGAAATGTAATTTTAATATATTTATTACATTTAAGGTAAATTGTTTCAACGATTAATAATAACAACAGTATCTTGAACCGGAATATATTCTGGTTCAAGGTGTTGATTAAGGTTAAGGTTTACTGCAGAAAAAATTAATTGCAACCTTAATTAACCTAAATAGTGATATTATCACTTAACACGTTCGAAATTTTTTAACAGAGTGCAATAAACTTGAATGTAACATTTATTTAAATGAATTAAATAATTATTTTTATTAATTAAAGTCAAGTATTTTCATTAAGATACATCTGAGTTAAAAGACACCACCCTGAGTGATATATATAAGCTAAAAATGTTGAGAAAATAAGGGAAAAATTACAGAACAATGAAAAAAGGGGAAAAAAAAGAAAAATAATAATAAAAATAAAAATAACAAAAAACCGGAAAAAGAGGATAAAAAATTTTAAATAAATTTTAAAAATCCGGATAAAGGCTTCCTTATGCTATATATATATATGATAATAAT